ACAGGTCTCCAGTCCATCACAGAGACACCTCTGTCTGTCTGCCTGTCTGCCTGTCTGCCTGCCTGCCTGCCTGCCTGCCTGCCTGCCTGCCTGCCTGTCTGCCTGCCTGCCTGTCTGTCTGTCTGTCGGACTCCCTGGCACCAGACTCCGGCTCTGGGGAAGATCTCGCTCCCAGATAGAGGCAGGAGAAACTCCACCCAGGAGGCCCGGTGTACACAGACAAACCGATGACGTCCTCTGACCAAAACAAAGCAAACATCCCGACCAATCAGAAGACAGGACACAAACACAGCTCAGCCTCTGATTGGCTGACGGTTCTACAGCTTTAAATCTCCACTTTTTGTTTCAAAAAGCTCTGGTGTGTCTCTGGTTTCTGCTGAGTGTGGTCTGCTGGCCGTGTTGGGAATGATGCCGTTGTGTCTGAAGCCCTCCATGAAGGGGGGTGGGGGATGGGGGATGGGAGCCCTTTGACTCTTTCCAGATGCCAGCCTCTGGAGCAGGATCCGTGACGCACAGAGGTCATTGTTGTTCACAGATGGATGATTCCTCAGCTCCCATCCTGAGGAGCCGAATGGAAGTTAGGCAGGGCTGGGGTCAAGCCTTTTGACCCCGCCATCAGTTTCCTGAACATATAGAAGACCTGGGGTGCGGGGGGTGGGGTGGGGGGGGTTGTTCACCCCCCTCTCTGCTGGCTCCAGGAGGCAGACTCACATCATAAATGAGTCCATTTGTTCTGCTGATGCTCCCGATGTTTATGCTGCAGGTTTATTTTTGTATTTTTTGTTCAGAAGGTTTCAGCGTTCTGCCATGTTCTCTCTGACTGTTCTCTTTTCTCTCTGCCGTGTTCTCTTTGACTGTTCTCTTTTCTCTCTGCCGTGTTCTCTCTGACTGTTCTCTTTTCTCTCTGCCGTGTTCTCTGACTGTTCTCTGTTCTCTATGCCGTGTTCTCTCTTTTCTCTCTGACTGTTCTCTTTTCTCTCTGCCGTGTTCTCTCTGACTGTTCTCTGCTCTCTCTGCTGTGTTCTCTCTGTTCTCTCTGCCGTGTTCTCTCTGACTGTTCTCTGTTCTCTCTGCTGTGTTTTCTCTGTCCTCTCTGATTGTTTTCTGTTCTCTCTGTTCTGCAGCTGTTCATGTTTTAAATGTTTGTGTTGCGTGAAAAGACACAAACTATCACAATCATATGTGCGTGTTTCTCTGCGCAGAGGACTAATAAAGCAGTCGTTTAAAAGTCGAAAGCAGGATTTTGTGTTTAGCTTTAGGGATTGGAGACGCGTTGGAACCCAAACCACCAGAACTCACGGGGTTTTAGATTCCTCCTCAGTTTTCAGGATTCAGATCCTTACTGTGGATCGTTCAGTGAATGCTGAGTCAGCATTTAAAATGTTGGTCGTTTTTTGCTTTATCTTTTTGAGATCTAATTTTCTGCACACTTTGTGCTATTTTAGCGGTTTACATATCCAAACATTCAGCACATGACTTAGTTTTTAAAGCTTTTAAGTTTTATTTTAAACATTCTTTATTAAAAAAAAAACATTTAGAATCATTTAATTTATAAGCATTGTTCTTTGAAATCTGCTGCAGCATTTTGGCTATATCTTATTCTGTATTTTTAGCTGCTGTTTTGATAGTTTTAGCTTTTAGCTACTGTTCTGCTGCATGGAGCTATTAAAGCTATTATCTTGCTACTTTAAAGCTACCATTCTAATACCATTATCTTATATCCGTGTTCAGCTTCATTTAGCTTCTAGTTACCTTTTTACTGTTTTGTGAATTTTAGCTGTTTGTTCCAAATGTGCATAATTTACCTTTTAGTTATAATTTTGCTAAATGTAGCTTTTGTCTACAATTTTTTTTATTTAAATATTTTAGCAACTTGAGCTTGAACTTGAGCATGCATCAAGATATTTTAGCAAATGGAAAAAAATTAGCTTCTAGCTAAAGTTTTTGCTACTTTTAGCTGTCAGATGTGGTTTAGCTAATTTTATTGTTCAGTTATGGTTTTGTTTACTTCAACCTTAATTTATGACTTTGCTAACTTTAGCTTTTAGTCACGGTTTTGATTAAAAAAAACACTCTCTTTTTTTAGTTTTTAGCTACTGCTTTGCTTATTGAAACTTTTAATTGTGGTTTTGATCATTTTAGCTCTTTGACATGGCTTTGCTGATTTTAGGTTTTCGGCTTATTTTAAGCCCGTTCTGATGTTTTAACAACATTTTTTCAGCTTCGGCAGATTTCAGCTGTTCATTTACAGTCATATCACAAGTTCTCCTCTTCCACCATAACCCTCAGCACTGGCTCCCCTCAGTGCTCTGTGTTGAGACCCCTCCTGTTCACTCTTCTCACGTATGACTGTGCAGCTACCCATCCAGGCTGTCATATTGTAAAGTTTGCAGATGATCCAGCGGTGGTGGGATGCATCACAAACAATGATGAGTCCAGCAGGAGGTGGAACACCTGGAGAGCTGGTGCAGGAAGAACAACCTTCACATTAATGTGAAGAAATGAAGGAGATGGTCGTGGACTTCAGACGGAATAACCCCCCCCCCATAAAATAAAATAAATAGGAGGATCTGCAGTGGAAGTGGTCTCTGGCCACAAGTTTGTACACCTGAATGACAACCTCAGTTGGGGAAACAACTCCACCAGCCTGATCAAGAAAGCTCATCAGAGACTCTACTTCCTCAGACGGCTGAGACGAGCTGGTCTGGGAAGCTCAGTCCTCACCTCCTTCTACAGGTGTGCAGTGGAGAGCATCCTGTGCTCCAGCATCAACGTGTGGCATGGAGGCTGCACAGCTGCAGAAAGAAAAGCTTTGCAGAGAGTGGTGAAGGCTGCACAGAAGTTTGATGGAGTCATTCTCCCCACCATCACAAACATCTACACCTCCAGATGCAGGAAGAGGGCCACCTGCATCATGAAGAACCCCACTCACCCAGCACACACACTTTTTGCCTCGCTCCCCTCAGGAAGGAGGTTGAGGAGCATTAAGTGTAGAACCACTAGACTGAGGAACAGCTTCTACCCTGAGGTTGTTACTCATAAATCCCTAATCAGGAAAATCACTGTAATGACACATTAATGTGCTGCTGATTATCCATGCTGCTGATCTCATGCTGCTGATTTATTTCATGCTGCTGTGTTCATTCGGACTCATCTGCTCACACAGACTCATGTCCGTGCTGCTGTTGTTAGGCCATATTGTTTTGCATTATTAGTGTTTAGCTTATTTCTTAGTTTATATCTTAGATCCATATTTACCGTTTCTTTTTACAATTTATACTTTTGCTATTGGATGTAACTGGGACCCTGTGTACATAATTTTGTTCCACCTCATGTACCACATGTGATGCGAATGACAATAAAACCGACTTGACTTGACTTGATCATGTTGAGTTCACGAGTTGAACTTTTTGCATTTTTAAGGTGAACCTGAAACGACTTCTGTCGTGAATTGAAGCCACATATGAGCTAAAGTAAAACTGCACGGATGGAGCGTCAGCTGTAGTCAGGTTAGCTCAGTTCTCTGGAGAATATTAAAAACGTTGCAGCCCTCAGAGGGAGGGAGGGGGCCGGATGTGTGAATTAATCTGACGTGGACAGAGCATGTGATGCTCGTTAAAGCTTTGCAGAACTTCACTTTCCTGTTTGAACAGAGAAAGACTGACGAGAAGAAAAAATGTCTTCAAATACAAAGAGTCTGTTGATAAGAAGCAGAGGGACTCTGCAACAAATTTAGGTTGTTGTACGATGACCTTTATCCAGCTGGACGTGTTCAAATGGTTCTGATTGTTCTGACTGACACGGTCAACCGGACTCAGTGGAGGAGATGCTGCAGACATGTGGACTCGGTGTTCAACCACTCAGGACAGTGGTGCTCTCAATGACTGACAGCTTCCATCTCGTTTGGCCTCTAGTCTGTGTCCAGAACACTAAATGCGGTTTTGACCCGACATCATCTAACATGGTTCTGATGCAAAAGGTTCTAAACAAAACGATATGCATATCATAATGAACTCCAAGTTCTTGTGCTTTACATTAACTCAACCTTTGTGAGTAGTTTTAGTTTCCAGACGTGCTGCCCTCTGCTGCCCTCTGCTGTCCAACAACCTGAACACATCCATCTGGATCATCTCTCTCTGATTAACCACAAGACATCTGAGGCACGTAAAGACAAATGCTTCTGGGATATGCCTGGATTGAATCTATGAAATAATCTGAACGTTTCAGGAGGAATCTTTATTCTTCTGTCTGATTTAATTCTGGTCACATGGAGCGCTTTCTCAGTGGCTTTTGAGTGGCGTTCCCCAGCCGTTGGTGAACCAGATGGCTTCCTCTGTCAATCCCCCACTCACAATCAAGATTAGGATTACACCACCCACACAACTGCACAGAGACGCACACAAAGACACACACCCACACATGCAAATGTGTGTTGTTATCCTTGGCAAGACGCTGCACTGACTTCCGTTCATTTCTGCAGTCTAACCCTGACCTGACTCATGACATTACCCTGACCTAATCTTAATCCAGACCTTAGTCCTGACCTAAATCATAACATAAACTGACCTAATCTTAATCCAGACTTTAGGCCGGACCCAGAAAGGGCATCCCACCACATTAGGGCCAAGTTTTTGTGCCCATAAGAGCTACAGGTCCTGACAAGTTGGATGATTATACCAAAGAAGGTCCTAAAAAGATAAGAACAAACAGTCCCCCCCCCCCCCCCCCCCCACACACACACACACACACACACACAGCAGATGATGACGTGCTGCTGCGTTATAGTGAAGCTCAAGTGGTTACAATAATATTACAGGTTGGAGGAGTGAGGCTGATTAAAGTATTTTTACCACAAAGGCGCTCGTGTGAGCTGGAGGGGGGGAGACGGAGACGAGGCAGGGCGGGGGGGAGAGGACAGATGGAAGAGGCTAGAGGGAGCTGATGTCACCAGGACCGGTCAGTGTTTCTCAGTAAGTAAAAGCTGACAGCTCGTTCTGCCTCCCGTCCTGAGAGGTTCTGGTTCTTCGGGGCCTCCCAGCATGAAGCGGGCACCATGGGCTTTCTGGAAAACTACCAGGAGATTGATCCCGTCACTTTGAACCTCTGCATCCTCATCGCCAGCTACGTCATCCTGCTCCTGGTCTTCCTGATATCTTGCATCATGTACGACTGCCGGGGCAAAGATCCCACCAAGGAGTACGCCCCGGACCCGCAGCCGGCCCAGTCTCCCATCAGGCTGGTGGTGATGCAGAGCTCCTCGGCACCGATGGGACGGTGGGACACGGCCAACATGATCACCACCTACCACGAGCCCTCACACTCAGACTTCAGGGAGAAGAAAAGCACCATGGTCTGACTGGAGCGGCGCTGATAAACTGATTTTTGTACAGTTTTTTTTTAATTGTTTTTACTTTTTGTACGGAGACGATGTTTGGGTTTGACTTCCACGGGGCCAGACTCGGAAGGTAAGGAAGACTTGGTTGTGGCTGAAATCCCTCTTCATCTCAAGGATCTCCTCCCCTCAGCCTGCTGTCTGCTCTGGAAAGGAGACGTCACAACTAATGAAGCTCAGGAGTAAAGAGGCCGGTGTCGAGGACGAGTTTAAGATTAAGGTCAGGATGTGGAAAACAGAAAAGTCCCAGAGATGACTCATGTGGCTGTTGTCTGCGTTAGTTTTGTTTCGTGATGAAGACGTTGTCTCTGACGTCACCGGACTTTAAACCTCTTGCTTGATGCGTAGCTATACAGTCGTGACTTAAAGGAATAGTTTGGACGTTTGAAAGTGGGGTAAAGGTTAACCCTTTACAGGCTCTGAACGACTTCACTTGTAAGAAATAAGAGCTTAATTCTGACAGGAAGGATGAGCTAATGGTTAGCCTGAACAGCTTACTGGCTCATGCAAACACTGCTATTAAACTTTGTCGTCACTGCCAATTTAGAATATTCTGAATTATTCTGGAAGGAATTTCATTTGTCTGCAGGAAGTGCCACCAGGCTACACAGGAAATGCTACAGCTTGCTGCTGATGCTAATATTTGTCTATATCAAATTTATTCCTATAGCACATTAAAAAAAAAGTAAGATTAATCAAAAGTATTTTACCAGTTAGTAAAATATAAAATAAAAACAAATAAAAATGGAGTCCCGGGGCCTGACCCGCTCTGCTCTTTAACCTGGACCTGTGCGGCGTCAGCCAATCTGGCTGAACGACCTCGGTGCTTTTGGTGGTGGTGATGGTGGTGGTGGTGGTGGGGGGGGGGTATAAATGTCGAGCAATTTGACTAAAGAGCTGGGTACCAAGCTAAATCTAAACACTGTTTTTCCGTTTGTGGTTTGTTCAAAGAATTATCTACAGCAGGTAAGATGCTGACTGTTCAGAACATTTTCACAGCACCCCACTTCAGAATGTTTAAAACATATTTTTAAGTCCTAAAAAATGTTACACACTGAAATCTGGACAACACGAAGAAGAATTTCTTTAGACAAACGGTGCTTTCAGCTTTTGTTGGACTCTTATTCTGAAATTTTAATTGTGGCAGCAGGACGATGGGCGTTCATCTGTTTGGAGCAACCAGAACACAATATCTAAAATAAATAAATAAACTATGAACGTGTTCTGCAGACAAAGGATTTGAAAGTGTTCATGTTTGAGTCTTGCAGTATGGAGGGTGGAATGTGACAACTTAAATAAATAAATGCATCATAAAATAAACAAATGTAAATGTGCAATTAAATGAATAAATGCCAGATTAAATAATTAAATGTATCATTTAAGTATTTGATATTCCTTTAATATTTAATATTCCTTAGAGAACTTTACAAATTGGCTTTTCTATGTATGCGAATGTTCCTGTAAAGTGCCCTGAGACAACTTTGTTGTGATATGGTGCTATATAAATAAACTGAACTGAATTGAATTAATACATCATTAAATCATTAAATATACAATTATGAATTAAATGTCCCATAAATAAATAAATGTACCTTTTAAATAATGACATTAAATAATTAAATGACATTTTCAAGAAAATTTTCATTTGTAATTGTGTATATAATTTAATGATATATTGCATAATTAAAAGATACATTTAATTATTTAATAGGGCATTTTTTTGTACATTTATTTATTTTATGGTACATTTCTTTATTTAGTTGGACATTTGCATTTATTTATTTCATGATGTATTTATTTATTTAATTTTGTCTTACAGTTGCAGACTTGGCCAGAATAGAAATAACATTTTTTTTGTCCCTCAGTTGGGAAATCCAGGTGTTCCAGCTGCAAAGTGCAGAGCTTGTACAACCAACATTGTATGTGTTCTGTTGGGACGAGCTAACAAAGCTGAACATCATTTATGTGTTTTGACGTTCGTTCAGTTTTACATTTCTTTCATTTTTTTAAGCTTTCACCTACGATGCGTAAAGAGTCAGTCTGGTCTGGAGGTTCAATAACTTTGCTGAAGTTCTCCTTTCCTCCATCAACATCATGTTTCCTCAGATCTCGCTTTGAGTACCGTATTTTCCGGCGTATAAACCGCGTTTATTATGCATTTATATAATGGTCAAAACAGCTTCATGTCGCCTGGGCGGCGCAGCGTCATCCATCCATCGCGTTCCTCCGCCTGCACCAGCTGAGTGAAGCGAGCGCGCATGAGGACTCTGTTGCAGTTCTTAGAAATTTAAAGTGTCAGTCAAAAATTGCGTTATGAATATGGGGAAAAAAAAGTATAAGTCGCAAAACTGACAAATCTATACTAAAAACTGCGACTTATACACGAGAAAATACGGTATCTTCCATTTTTCTCATGTATAAGTCTAATGTATACGTGTATAATATTTTAACTCGCACCAAAATCACTAACCGTACAAGCAAAGGTGCTTTAAAAAAATAAAATCTACATTTTCTTTAACAGAGAGTCTGCTGTTGATATGTTTGCCAAGGAATTTAAAATGTTTGAATTGTTGCAGGTTTCATTAAATAGCTTCAGTTTGATCAAGTAATTCTCGCTGTCACAGCTTTTTTCTAAAAGCCTGTTTAATGTGAAATACAAGTGATATTTATAACGTTTATACGCCTCGTCAGAACATCTTAAAAACAAATACAGCGAGCAAAATTAATCTGTTGTGGAAGAAGTTTTTGGAAGAACCTACATGGCAGCCGGGGATGTTTTGATCGTCAAGTCTTCTCGTGGCCTACGGAGCTAATGATGTGGAGGTAAACACGCCTCAATCATCTATAATATATCAACTGCCAAGAATACGTTGCACGAATATCTAATCTCTTCTCAGCAATGAGTCTAAAGTGTCTCCTGTGATGTGAGAGGGGAGGACAAACGGCAGGTCAACCTTACCCTCCCACCTGAGGAGGCGATTAGTGGCAGTTGGACACAATCAGGCTGCTTACGTCAAGGAAAAAGCAAATTGCTCACAAGTGCGTGTTGCATTTGAGGTGTTTATCAAAGCAGCACGAGGAATAAAACCTAAAGCACAATAAAAGGAAGACATTGCCCCACCGATGTCCTCTTTAACAAACCCAGCGTGGATCAGAATGTGCCCTGACAGAAACCAGATAGATAATTTGGCTTTTACAGACAAACTGCTCATCTCTGAAGAGAAATTCAAGAAATGGAAGCAGAACAGACGGCGTCCTGGTGGATTATTTCTGAAAACTTCAGTAAGCCTGAGGATGTCCCTGCAGTCTTATATAAACTGTTTTATCTGAGAAGCTCTAATCAAGTTGCAGAGGTCTTACGTAAGCCGGCTTTATCAGCTCGACACCGTGTCTGGTTCACCGTCACGCTGAGCAGAGGTGAGGGCATCAACAGATCATGTTCTGAAAAAAACACATCTGAAATACTAAAAGTCCTGTACAGGTAGTAGTTATGTGATTTCAAGTCGATATTTTATCGTTTTCTGCTCGTTTTCCTCCATTTTACAAAAACGCAATCCAAAACTAACCATCCTGCCGTTCATTTTATTTAGACGTCCCAGTGGGAAGGCCCAGAACTCTCTGGAGGGATTAAATTCTTCTCGGGCCTGGGAACACCTCGGGTCCCCAGGAGGAGCTGGAGAGGGAGGCCAGGGTTTCTCTCCTGGGCCTGTTGCTCTGTAACCAGACTGAGATATTATCTGAACATGTCACAGCTCAATATGTTCACTGGGGATTATTTAATCTTCATACTAATTAATATTTAAAGTTTATTTACTTATTATTGTCTGCTAGATTGCTTGATAAGATTTAGTAACTTAATCACCTCATTTATATATATATCTATATCTATATCTATATATATATATATATATATATTACATTATTCCTTTTTGACATGGTAGCTCGTGTGAGCAGAACACATATGAACACAGGCACAATCTGGAAACTGTTTTCAGAGGTATTCTACATTTCTAGGATTATTTCCGTGTTTGTTTCACATGAAAGGAGCCAGATGTGGAGGAAGAATCCTGTACTTTTACTTACATGTACTTGAGTAATAAAATTATCTTGGTACACTGAGATTCTGCATAATAATCCCCAGCCATTCCCACATGCTGTGGTGCCTGAGAAAGATACCCAATCCCTAATTGCTCCCGAGGCACCCACATAGCTGCCCACTGCACCACCTGGGTGTATCTCAGGTGGGATGGGTTAAATGCAAAGAACTAATTTTGCCATATAGGAACATTCAGTGATGATAATCTCAGACGTCCCTTCTCTAAATGTTTAACCCAAATAAATACTCATAATTCAGGAATTCTGTTTATACTTGAAACGTTCTGTTAAAGCTGGAGACGTTTGACGTTTTGGGCTTTATGTGTGATGCTGAGAGCGGAAGGATGTTGCTGCAACTTAAGAAGCTTAAGAAGCTGAAACTGACGAGTTCAAGCTAAAAGCAAAACACAAATAGAAATATAATAGAAGCAACATGCTAAAACCCCAAAAAGCAAAAGACTAACAACTAAAGCAACCAAGTAAAAACAAGCTAAAACTAATAGCAAAAAGGGCCCAAACAAAGCAGGTATGCTGGAATATATTTCTAAGATTATGTTTATTAGGAAACAGAACTTTTATAAAAACCAGAAAAATTACAAAACCCAAAAGTCCTGACACCCATCTCCTGATTAGTGCAGAGTGAATAGTCCTGAGTGTGCAGAAACAGTTAAACTGTAAATAACACACAGATAAACATTAAAAAGCACAACAAAACAAGGAAACCTGACTCAGCACTCACACATTTCATTTTATGGACTGCTAACTCTGTTAAACTTTAATAACTCATGTGAACATATAGATAAACCTTCATTAATATAATGTGATACATATATAACATTTAGATTATTATTGTAGAATAAAGTTCAAAGTCCAGTATTTATCTCATGAATATTGTAGAATAAATTTCACTATTTAACGGTCCCTGTGCTACAGCGCCGCCTACCTCTGCTCTGATTGGTCCGTGTGCCGGCTCTGTCGCTGCTGATTGGCTGACACTGACGTCACTCAACATCTGACCACCGGCAGCTCTGAGCTCCGAGCGGCTCAATCATATTTTTCCCAGATGAGGTGCTGCTCGGCGGGGCTGCTAGCTTTGGGAGTCGCTTTTAGGGTTTGACACAGCTGCTTCTGGCGCTGATGAACGTTTCCGTTTTAAAGATGAGGCTTTGATTTAGCGGATGTTCCAGGATGGTCTTTAGGAAAAGACTAAAATGGTGCGTTTGTAGCGGGAGGATTCAAACAGCCGGCTCGGCGATAGTTAGCAGAGGAGCTAATGCTAGGCCTTCCGTTTCCGGTAGTCAGGAACATTTGATCATTTTATTAAAGCACTTTGTCGCTGTGTAGTTTCCGGATTGTGATCGTTTCTTGCTTCGTGGCGACGACATGAGGAAAGTTAACTCCTATCAGAGGTGGGTGACTTATTTTTTTTTTGGCTTTTTGCAGGTAAAATGATTCATTTTACTGAGTTTTTTTTTAGCTAAACTTTAGCTTTTGTGGATTATTGAGCAGGCATCAGGATACTTTCTAAACTGGCTTTACATCAAAAACACTGCAGCTGTTATTCCTAATATTTGTATTAATTGGAGCTTTTTTCCAAAATTAAAGAGGGATAAATCAGTCTCCTGGTTCTACAATGTGATTTTAGCTTTTATCTTGAAGGTTTTTTATTTTTTTTATTCAAACTTTATTTATTTATTTATCCAGATTAGTCTCACTGAGTCATGAGGACTAATTTACAAAAGACCTGTTTTTGACACACAACATAAAGTACAGTAAAATGCAATTAAAATAAAAGTAGTGTTATAAAACAATACATCAAGGTACAACATAAACAATGTAAAATACTTTTAATTTAATTTACTGAACATTTCTTGACGTTTCTTTTGACTAAAAGTGATAACTCCATAACTGATCAGGTTATTCAAATTAAATATTTATGAAGCAGGATAATCTCACTTGTGTACATTTTATGCGTTGTGTATTTTATTACATTGTTATGAATGAATGGCTCCGTCTTTGTGTATTAAATCAGATTTGGATCAGAACATTTTGTTTTAAATATATAAAAGTCTGTTTCCACTGTTTGTCTTTTTCAAATGTTTTTATGATGGTTTATATGTTTTTTTTATGAAAGTGTTCACCATTTTCTTACATCTTTCATTTAGTTTGACTCAGATTTATTGTTCTTTATATAACTGATGCAAGAAAAAAGCCTTTTGTTGGATTCATTAGTGCCATATCGTCCAAATTATCATCATTTCTCCTCTCGTTTCTCGCTCTTATCAGTAAATAAAAGTTTCCTGTACGTCTTGTAACCATGTCTTCAGATTAGGATGCAGTTCAGGACTTTTTACAGGTTTGTTGGATGTTAACAGCATCACCTTTGCCCCACTGAAGCTCATGGGGGTTCGGTTGATTTCCTCCTGATAAGAAAGGTCACAGTCGATGCTAATCTCACTCATAATCTCAGCAGGCTTCCCAGAAATGTTATCTTAATCTCTGAATTTGCAGTCACGAGTGCAAAGTGACTGAGCGCACAACGTTTCACGGGTTCAGCCTCAACTCTGCATTTTTCTGCCCGTTCTGTTCAGCGTCGGGCTCCTGAATTATTGATGTTTTGACGGTTCGTTTCAGGTTCATGAACACACGAGCCTCCTCTAACTGCCGCTACCAGCCCACCTGCTACGAACACGCCGCCAACTTCTACACTCATGCTGTGAGAGCTCCATTCCTGTTTCAGTTTTTAATGTAAAAACACCCAGAGTCTGATGATCTGTGCCACGGTCCTTTCAGCTCCTCGTCGTGCCGGCCTTCGTGGGCATGACGCTGCTGCACCGTCTCTCCGACAACAGCTGGGAGAGGATCACCGCCTGGGTGTACGGCGTGGGTCTGTGCGGCCTGTTCCTGGTTTCCACCGTGTTTCATATCGTCACCTGGAAGAAGAGCCACATGAGGTGAGGAGGAGGGGGGAGACAGCCAGGTGGGGGACATGTCCCAGGAAAAAAAAAAAGTGTACCTAAACATGGATGAGGACGTCTTATGGGACAGAATCATGAAGATGGTTCCGGTCGGAGCAGTCCGTGCGCCGCCTCGCAGGAAATAACGCGCTGCTTTAATGTTTATGTTCCTTCGTCTTCTCAGTGTTGAACTTTAAACGAGCCTCAGAAGGGACTTCTTTACTTTGTGATGCTTTTTTCAATAATCCTGCTAAGACCGTCACAGTGAGATTATAGCAAATCCAGCTTTTACATTGTCCAACATTCATTAAAAAAAGATAATGTCTGAAAAATAAAGTTCACAGCCAGACAACCAGTGCAAAGATGCATCTCAATATTTAGGTATGTACTTAATTTATCATATTAATACTTTTAGTGCCTGGTTGGTGAAATAAAGTACATTATACACAAGAGCTTTTCTGGTTTCATTAAATGTTTTTTTGTTAAAGCAGCTAAAAGTGATACAAGCCTCTAATTAATACACCGTCTGAAAGAAACTCAAATGATTTTGCAACAGTTTTATCCATGACTGGAGTTTATTTGTTATCGTTTATGTCACTCTAAAGTTTTTATATGTTTTAGTTGACAGGGCTGTATGAAACCAGTTTATCATTTCTGTTCTTAAATTCTAGGTTTTATGAAATAACCACATTGATTATCTGGTGGGTCAATAAAGTTTTGACCGTTCATTGAGAAATGTCACAAATTTGAACAAAAATGCATAAAGTTGAATCCATGGATTTAGAAACGCGCCGCCCACCAAACCTAAAGAGCTCATCGGATCCGTCTCAGTCGTTTCTTCGCATCACTCGGCATCTGTTCCTGTAGACCAGGGACGGGTTTCCTCAGGTTCAGTTTCCGCTCTGCGTGTCAGCGAGTCCACTTCAATACCAGAACCGGTCTGAAGCAGCTGTTGTGTGTTGCAGGTCGGTGGAACAATGCTTCCACATGTGCGACAGAGTGGTCATCTACTTCTTCATCGCCGCCTCCTACACACCGTGGTGAGCATCCGCCCGCACTCAGAACACCCGGGTCAGAACCCAACCGTTAATCGTCTGTTTTTGCCGTCACTCAGGCTGAACCTGCGGGAGCTGGATCCTCTGGCTGCACACATGCGCTGGTTCGTGTGGCTCATGGCCGCTGCCGGAACCATTTACGTCTTCATCTATCATGAACGGTGAGTTCACGTCTCATCTGAGTCGGGTCCTGGGTCCGTTTCGAAGCTGTCAGGAGGAGCTGGGGAGTTCTGGACGTATTCCAAATTAGAAACTTTCCAGGGAAAGCTGTGAATTTATGGGAATTAACTCTAAACAAAAATATAAATGTTTTGTTCCTAACATGAACCCTCCTGCTGCCCTTGGGTCAAGGTCAGTTTGTTGGTCATTTTGACCCACGGGCAGCAGGAGGGTTCATGACCCAACAGGCAAATGATGACATCACAGCATCATAACCACACATTGATGGTTGATGCTTAATTTATTTATTTACATTATAAGATGCTTTTCGTCATTTTATTCACTTAAAAACAAACCCCCAAAAAATCAGTAAATTAAGTATCATGAAAAAATTATAATCTGTTCACGTGTTTGGTAATTATTAAGATTTAATCTGCATAAAAACAACAAATTTCAGAAAAATACATTTAACAACAAAACTAGTTACAACTCTGAACAAAACTCTTTATATGTCTCCATTTCATCCTGTCTCTGCGTGTCCCCTCTGTCCCTACGTGTCCCCTCTGTCCCTACATGTCCCCTCTCATGGATGGTCCAAGAAAATGAGTTTTTTCTTGTGATTATGCTGAAATGTGTTTTCTGCAGTTCTCTTTAAAATCCCTGTTAAGAACCAACCCTCAACTCTTCCACTTCCAGGTTTATTCCCATAAATTCTCGTTAATTCCAATAAAAAAGTTCACAACTTTTAAATCAAAATCATTCCATTCAGTCTGTACGGTGATGTTTTTACATTTGGTTATCGTCCTGGTTGAATATTTTCCAGCTGACGTTGTGTGTCCACGCAGGTATAAACTCGTCGAGCTGGCCTTCTATCTGACCATGGGCTTCTTTCCTGCGTCCGTTGTGACGTCCATGGTAAGAAAGTTGTTACGTTTCTGTTTTGTTTAAAAGCCACTTCTTTATGTAGCAGAGCTTCAGCACGTGAAGGTGTCAGGAGTTTAATTTGAACTGTTAAATATTAAGATTAGGATTAAATTAGGACTAACTGTTAATATAAGAGTTTTATGTAAACAAACATGTTTTGTGTTAGCAGAATTTAATTCTAACTTTGAAACTTATCCAACATTAATAAAACTTAGCTCAAGTTGCCTTTTTGGACATGCATGCATATTTGTACAAATTGTACTTGAGAGGAGATTATTACAGCCTCATATAAAATCAAGAATGATGATGATGATGATATCAGAACGGGATCGGCCGATATCCACATTTATGTATCGGGATCAGAAGTAAAAAAAACGTGGATCGGTGCATCCCTAGTTTTATGTTTGTGTAGAAAGATAATTTTTGCCTTTAAAGCTCAAGTTTGAGGCTGAATTATATTTCTCGTTTGTGCTGCCCTCTTGTGGCTCCAAAGTGTATTACAGTTTTAACTTTTTGTGTTTAATTATGAAAAAAATAACTTTTTGGTGTTGTAAAATTTATATCTGAGGTGTCAAACCCTAAAGTAACTTAGTTCTAGTCTGTTCATATTTATCAAAAACATTAGTTTTTGTTTGGTTTCATACTTTTTTCACTGAATATTTGTAAAATATGATCACGCGGGCCGGATGAACGTGTAGAAAGGGCCACGTTTGGCCCCCGGGCCTTCACTTGAGGAAATGATGTTTGACTTTGTGTTTTCAGAACAACACGGACGGTCTTCACGAGCTGGCGTGCGGCGGCCTCATCTACTGCCTCGGCGTCGTCTTCTTCAAGAGCGACGGCGTCATCCCTTTCGCCCACGCCATCTGGCACGTGTTTGTGGCGCTGGCGGCCGCCGTGCACTACTACGCCATCTGGAAGTACCTCTACAAGGCTCCCAGCGCCGAGGCCCTCCTCAACTCACTGTGACCCCCCGCAGCGCTCTGAAGACGCACAAACGAGACTCCCGGCTGCAAGTCGAGCAAATGTTTACAAGAACACGGACCTTCAGCTGTTTACCGTTTTCTAATCAGCCGGAGGACGATCAGCGTCTGATGAACTCGACGTGTTTTTTAAAGCTCAAGTCATGAGCCGAGACGAGAGAGAGCGCTTAAACGTATTTTGAAACCGTGGCACATTTCTGAGAGTTTACAAGACTTTTTATCGACATGAACGAAGTCCCGCTCCGCTTCGAGGGTGGGTGCGTGCAGAGGCGGGGCTAAAATTCACCTGTTAAAACCAAAAGGTGTCAAACACGGGAAACTGCACACGAACTGTGCCAAAGTGAAGAAACTTAAAACAAACGTTTGATTAAAATCAGTTTATATATATATATATATATATATTTTAAATCTGCGTATTTAAAACATTTTTCTAAAAATGTTTAAATTGGACCCGTGGTTTATTTTGCTTTGTTACTACAGAACAAAACGTTTAAATTCTTGTCATAAAATGTAGTTTTTCCTGTTTTTACTCCGAGTTTATTTGGACCCGGCGTGCACTTTGTTCCTCCGTGGAGCCGACGGGACGGAGTCCTTGTGTCGGAGCCGGCTCCCGGTGTCGTCAGAAAGTGATTTATAGTATTTCAGACGGTATTTCATGACGGGACGGAGCTTTTCCACTTTTCTAATGTGAACAGTGTTCGTGCGTGTTGTTCGGTGTTACATTTCCACTCTGACCTGCACTTTTAGGCTGATCTGATCAGTTTTTGTAAATTTGCTTCGTTTTTTTTTTGTAAGTTGTAGCAGCATCCCAAACTGATTGATCCCAACTCTCCTCTGATCCACTCTGTTTTGTACATTTGTATGTTCTGTCGTCGACGCTGTGATCCGTGTGCAGGGAAATGCTTTTTGTTTGTTCCCCTGGCTGCTGCCTCCGTAATGTGACAATAAAACCGTCTCCAGGAAATCTGAAATGTCTACTTTTAAAATGTTCAAAAACGTGTAAGAAACAGTTCCATAAAGAAGAAAACGTGAAAAGAACAGGGATTTTTTTATTGGACACTAAAAATTACAGAGGTTTTCAGGTTGAACAGCACAAATAAATGTTCTGCATCGATTCCATCACAGTTCCTCCTTTTTAAGCTGAACTTTTTTTAAACGCTCTGAAACGATCTGTTGGTGTTGCCATGAATACGATGGTTACATGAAAACGTAATTTACAGGTTTGGATGCACCGAGAAGCCCGTCGGCGCAGACGTTTGAACCCACCCGTGGTGAAATCTTCACACAGCTGAGACTGAGGAGAACAGTCGGTGAATTCAAGGCACTGGACTCAGAGTTACGGTCAACGTTTCCAGGTGAGGTAGTGAAGTCACTCGACTGCGAGGTAACGTTTGGGATATCGTGGATGAAATATTGGCTTTTTCCTGTTTCTATGGTACAGCTCACGTTTAAAAAGATGCTCTAAAAAATTTGGGAGGCATCAAACCCTGACTATCGTCTGTGCAGTTATTCTGAAGCGCTTCAAACTTAAATCCACACGCAGCTTTGGATCAAATCAAACTAAGGAGGCCAAGACGAGAACGTCGGCTTTGTTTGGAGTTCAGGTAAAAATCTCTCAAACGGCTGCTTTTAAAGTAAAAGGAACCAAACTGATTAAACTCGGATAGTGATGGAAGTCCAGAGGTGCCACAATAAAAAAGGAGGGGAGACCAAAAATAACATGTTATGAATCAAACTGAAAAGCTTCAAAGTGAATTTAAACCTCACTAAATTAAAGAAAAGGCCATTGTATTTGTGTTAATCGTTGCTGTAACTAAAGTAAAATTTGGGTAAATAAAGCTTCAAATGCACAGAAAAAATTAGTTTAAACACAAAACTTTCCTGCCAGATACCCAAGTGTTCAACTAATAAAGAAAAACTGTTTTGTCTGCAGGATGAACAAAAACTAAAGGAGAGCAACGTTGCCAACAAACGCAGCCGTGCACGTGGAACAATATTTTAAACTGAACGCAAAAGTTTTCACATTTTTGGGCAAAATTGCATCAAATTACTGAGCGGTCAAACCAAAAGGCAGGTATTTCCAAAAGTGTAGATTATTAGATGAATTAATGAGCTCTGGGTTGGTTTAAGTGCATGCATATGTGGGGGGAGGGAAGAAGTAATATTTGCACATTTGGACTTCCATACATCAAAACAGAACTCGCAGTTTTAGCGTTGAACAACACGTTCCCGTCTTGGGCCGACTGGTAAACATCTACAGCACTACAACATTTAAGGGATCTCACAGGAAGCTTAACGCTTCCTGGTGGTCATCACTCGTGTTCAGGGACTCGTTACAACTGCGTTAACTAAATTTCTCATTCACCCAGAAAAAAGCAGCAAAAAGAACCAGCTATAGATTTCCCTTCCGTCATTGTAACGTCGTCCCAGCAGGTCAGAGAAGCTGCCCCAAAAACAATGACAGAGATCTGCAGAAGGTGCATGCACCAAAAACTTTAGGATTCCTTGCCAATTTTTTAAAGGTGCTAACTAAAGATACATTCTTCAACCTGGGCTGCAATTTCCTCTCTTTTGATTTAAACAGGTATGGAAGCCTGCAGGTGACACCAGGAAATCATATCGCTGATGTAAAGATGACAGTAATGCCCACAAAGTTTTGATTTACTACAAATCTCTGTAAAACGTTATGATACAATATTAAAATACCACTACATGTGCATCTGCTTTTTTTTTTTTTTCTACTTATATACTTTTTAATAATAATAATAATAATTATCTGGACCTGTTGTGCCTTTAAAATACATAATTCGCTCGTGTGTAAGAAAAATACTGTACAAACAGGAACAACTTTCTATAAACGTGTCTTGTTGCTGATAAAGTCGGTTCTGATGGGGACCGGTTAAACTGATCGGGTCAACCACAGTATTGGACAACACCAGCCAACTTTGAGGGTTTTCTCTTCCGCCAACGTCTTCTACATTCAACCAGCCATCTTTTAAAAAAAAAAAAAAAAAAAAAAAAAGAAGGCAAACGCACAGCGACGCAGAGAGAGCTCGGAGACATCCGCACTGACTCGTAGAATAAAAACACTCGGATTAATCGTGCTGAACTTAAACAGAAGCTGAGAAATTAACAAGTCTGAAGAAAACAAGTTTTCATCCAGTGAACCCATGCTGGATCTGAAAGGAGGCTAAACAACAAGCTGTAAGAGTAGTGTCAATACTAACAATTATATCAACATAATACATATATATGTTTATATATTTATAAAAAATAACAATCATCCATCTGAAAAATAAAAAGGGAGATAAATATGAGGCAGAGGACGTTTGAAGCAACATGGGATCAGATTGTGAGACGCTCGTTAGTGCAGACTAACCCGGTTAACGACGACAAGCGGGGAGAAACATCGAAGCTCGGTCGGGACTAAAATTATTGCTCAAGTGTTAAAACGAACAAAAAAAAAAAGGGCAAATCTGTGCCTCGATTGCACGAGAAAAAAAAAACAAAAAACATGAAGTGATATCAAAAATGCAAGATCTGAGACGTTGCTTTAGGTGAAACATGAAGAAGAAACGTTCTGTCGGCGGCGCCGGCAGGAGGATCAGGGAAACAGTTTTTAGTTCTGATCTCACGTAGAAAACCGGTTTGAACAAACAGCGTGTTTCTTAAGGTGGGGGGGGGGGGGGGGGGGGGGGGAGTTCTGTTGTGTTGGCTCGTAACTCCTCACAGGACGTTAAAGTAGGAAGTATGCACATGGAAATATTTATAGATTTATCCGTGTATAAATTCTCAAACGTGTTCAGAAAATAAAAGCAGGAACAGATGAAATTAAGCTTATGATAGACGTGGGGGGGGGCACCAGAAGAGACACGTTGTCCTTCAAACTGGAGAGGAGGAGATGGGGGGTGAGACGGGGGCTCACAGGGACCCGTGCCGGGCTTCGTATTTAGCCAGAATGTTCTTGCAGCGGCCCAGCTCCTTCCTCAAGTCCGCCACCTCCATGCGGAGCGCGGCGTTCTCCTTCTCCAGGAAGCCGGCCCGGATGGCGATCTGGTTCTCCTTGAGCCGGCGGGCGTCTCGCGAGCGCTTGGCCGCCACGTTGTTCTTTCTGCGCCGGGCCCAGTACCGATCGTCCTGCGGAGGGGGGGGAGCGGACCAGAACCACGAGCGTTAAACAATATTTACAGAAACAGAAATTCTCCAGGCTGTTCCCGAGTTTACAGTTTTACACTTTCCAATGAAACTGCAGACAGAAGATCTGATCCAACCCTGCATTAACACCCCCAACAAACAAACAAACAAACAAAGAGTGCAGCCGCTCACCTTCAGGTCTTCTGGAATGAAGACCTTGCGAGCTTTTTTGATCATGGGCTGTGGCTTCAGCTCCTCGGCAGAGAACTTGCGCTTCCTGGGGTCGAACATCTCCTGGCCGGGCACGCTGGACAGGGCCAGGTCTGCGGGGTCCGGGTCGTAGGTCACGGGCACCTGGATGGACTCGGGGTCGATGGGGCTGGGGGTGTCTCTGGCTGAAGGCAGAAGAGAGAACTTTTATTTACCAGCAGACACAAAAGAAAGCCTTTGTCTTGGAGGAGTCAGAAAATCAAAGGTCAAAGGTCATTACTGAAAAAAAATCAAATTTTGACACCGAGTGGATTAATTAGTTTAACATCCTGAGTCCTCAGGAGAGTACAGTCCTTGAATCCAGAGAACTAACAAAAGAGAAAAAAAAATCAAATAAATCCAGAGCACTTCTTAGAAATGCCTCCTCTGACCAGCAGGTGGCGCTGGTACAAAGCTGAAAAACATTTACACCACATCTCAAGAACAGCTTTAACCTCCAGTCAGCTGATCTGTGAACAGCCTCTGCGGCGCCTTCAAGGCTGCAGGAAAAGGCAGCATCTGAGGCGCTGAACACCTGGCAGGTGCGTTCTGAAAGATGGCAGCTGCTGCCGACCTTCGACCTCTCTGAGCACGCGCACAGCTGCAGCCGACGTTTAAGACTGAGCTTTACGCAGTTTAAAATAACAAAAGCGTCAGAAACCAACAGGAAGTCTGAAGGTCTGCATCAAGAGCTGAACAATGAAACTATTTACTTTGGTCTAATCCAGGTGATTTTACACATCATTGCTTCATGACACAATAAATGGGCTCTCATTCAATATTAATAATTCATAAAAGCTGCAAAGTTTTTATTTTTATTTTAGGCCTTCAGTGCAACAGAGTTTGAACTAAACTTATTATGATGCAGATCTGCTGCGTCCTGCTGGAGCTGCACAATATTAGAAAAACTTGTGATTTTATTGTTTAATATGGTGATGATTGCATGAATTGCAATAAACTAATATTTTCCTCACTTTCTCTCTTGCCGCCAGCGAGCATCTGTTGGATCGATCAAATCTACTGTATCATTAGCACGCAGGCACTTGAAACATCACAGCCAATTATCTTGATTTATTGCAGTCCACGCTCACAGACATTGTCATGACAATAAATATGGAATATTGTGCAGTCCTAACCTCGATATTAATAATGTTTCTTAGGGTAGTTTTGGATAAATGTGCACCTCGAATGGTTTGTGTCACGGTTTCTGAATGAACGGATCCCACACACACATTTGATGAGAAGCGTCAGGTGTATATATTAGAAGTCATCGGAAAGAGTTCTGAAGAATCGTAGTTTGGTTTCCTGACAGAGACGAGCCGACGCGTCAGAACGGTCGAAGGTAATCCATCTTTAAACTCGGGACACAAATAGGCCGACTTAACCTCCGACCTTCCATCGACCGAGCGCTGCCAGGAAACAAGCTTGTTCCCAACGAAAACCTGCGTCTGTGAGGAACGCCATCCAACCTGAGAACAGTCGGGCCTCGCCCTGACCGCCGAGTTAAAGCACAGAGCAGGTCGTCCGGCAGGCGAGTCGTCCCTCCCCCGCATCAGAAAATCTTAAAATTTACCTCACAGGTGACGAACGGCAGCCATGACAGCTGGCTCGTAAAGAAAGACTCGTTTTAGTGCAGGTCGGACTCGGTGATCGTATCTCTGCGAGTCTCATCATCGTGTCGGTGATGACGTGGAGCTGTCGCTCATTTCTGAGCTGCTGAACTCTGGGCAGCCAGTTCTTTCCCTCCCAGTGATTAAAGGGCACGACTGAGATTAACCTCCACCATAAAACCTTTCAGCTCATTAAATTATTGTCTTTTTTTTTTTTTAACATCGCAGAAATAAATCATGCATCCTAAACCCAAAACAATTAAAAGCCTCGTGCTACATGAAGACGCTGTACTTTGCCAGAAATACTCACTAAAGCTTGTTTCGTTACCCAGAGCTGAAAATAACTCCTCCAGTTTTTTTTAAAGAAACTACAGCTCCATGTTGGTTTAAGAAGATTACGAGACATTTTAAAACAAACTAAAGATACGCACCCAGAGGTCGACGTAAAACGACATATAGACGTGCACGCTCACTGTGAGCTACAAGCTGAATCTTTATTTTCCTACTTGGTTAATTGATTAAGTGCAAACGAGGCAGATTATTTAAAAAGTGGACAGGATTTTCTCTCTTCCTGCACAAATCGGTGCAGTTTTTCAACATTTACGTCCCTGTACTCTGACACACGGTGCACTTTGTTGTGGGTTTTTTTAAATCAGATTTATTGTCAGGAACAGTTAAAATAAGTCTAATTTTCTCTGTCTTCATGGCAGAGATTTAGGACACATGTTGATCCTGACACAGACCACATGATGGGAGCGAACAGCCGCCAGCAAGAAGGAACAAACAGCAACACTTCAGTCTGAGAACAGGTCTGATCAGTGGCTGTTATGTAAATCGTTTCTAAATGTAGATGGGAATCATTTTGCTCATATTTCAGATGGTTTGTTTGTTGCCAGGCCATCTGTCGCGCGCCCTTTGACCCTTCCTACGATTAACTTCCTGTTTGACTCCACGGTTTGGGTCCATCTCCGGACGCGGGCGACCACACAGAGAAAACGCAGCCTCTGTTTACGATAACGCCGGTTATTAGAGCGCAGGCTGGACGAGACCAGGCTCGCTGAGCTGGAACAATACGGAGCGCACGTGACAGAAGCGCACGCACGGGTCCATGTGACCTCTGCAGGGTACAGCCTGTGCTCTGGCGCTCAGGCCTGTGCTGCAGCCGAGGCCCAGCGAGGAGGGGGCGACAGCCTCCTGTCTGCAGCTCGCATGTGTCCGTCACATGGCCGTGCACGGTGCAGGAAAGCCTGCGCTCGTTCACGTGAGAGCTAGACGTGTGCACGCAGACAGAACCCAACACGCAGAGTTCTGCTCTGCAGGGAGGCTGGAGGAAACACCGGAGCGTCCGTTCATCCAGAGGTGTGCAACCTGCGGCTCGGGGGCCGCACGGGGTCCGTCGGCTGCGGCCCTTCGCTTTACAAGAAAGACGGGAATTAAAATTCATAACGATACGAATCTGTGAAGATTAATCGATTTGGAAAGAGTTGAAGATGTGCATGATGCGACAGCAAGCCGTGCACAGATGCAGTTTTGGGAATACAGCAGTCCCTCGCTACTTCGCGGTTCGTCTGTCGCAGACTCGCTCCATCGCGGTTTTTCAAAATAAGATCGGACATGACGCACAGTTGGCTGACTGATGGATGAGCCGCACCATCGGCATGGAACTTTTATTTAAAATAAATTATATTAAATTGTTTCGTACCTGCTGCACCTGTGTGCAGCCCATACTGCTGCAGCTGATCAGCTGTTCTGCGTGCAGAGCGGAGAAGTGGGCGTGGCCATGGGAAGGGTTTAAAATGCCTTTAAAAATACATTTTAAAAAAGTAATATATATATATATATATATATATATATATATATATATATATATATATAGATAGATATTATAATAAACTACTACTTACTACTTGTAATAATATTCCTACTTTGTGGTTTTTCACTCATCGCTGGTCATCAGGGTACGGATCCCCCGCGATAAACGAGGGACTACCGTAAGTCCAGTCTTCGTTCCAACAGAATCTGATCAGTTTAATAATTAGGAGCAGCTCGTTTGCATCATACGAGCTCTTTATGAGAAGCAAAGACAACAACAACAAAAAAAAGAGCCAGTTCGTAAATCTAGGAAAAACTGCTGTACGTCGGCAGACTATCGGAAAGTTTTCAAAATAAAAAAAAAATCCACTCGTTTCATTTTTTAATCAACTATAAGGTTTTAAATTTGTATAATAAAGTCCAATAAACATTTAATTAATTCTCATACAAGGTAATGCACACGTCTGTTTCAGGCATTATTACATTTAAAGTCTCTTTTTTAATTAATTAAATTAAGTCACATGCCGAAGTGTCCCTGGGCAAGACACTGAACCCCTCGTAGCCTCTGATACGTGTCCCATCGGTGTTTGAATGTGATAAAGCTCTGATTAGTCTCTTTAGAATGACTTGTTCAATTAGCTTTGTAGATCTCGAGTGCTGTGTGAACGGGTAAATGAGGCAGATTGTTGTGTAAAGCGCGTTGAGTATCTCGATAAGATAGAAAGACGCTATACAAGTACAGTCCATTTACCATTTAAAATCTAGGATTATGAATTAAAAACTGATATTTTCCAAACTCTCTGTATAATCTGCCTTTTCTGGGGGTTGTTTGACTTCCAGCGCTGACTGAACGCTGCAGAGTCACTTTGGTAAACAGATATGCAACTTAACCGATTAAATTATGTAATTTGTTACGTTTTATCTTTTAATTAATTTACTTCTTTGCTCCGTGTTCCGACTGACGGCCTGAAACTACAGTTAGAAACCACCGCCTGATTTGTTTTTGTAGCGTTTCCTGTTTATGTGAGGAAAAACCCTGAGAATTTATTTAATAAATAAAAAAGTTAAATAGCTCCAGACTTTGTTTACAGAACCGCGGCGAAGTTTGTCCCTCTTGATCGTGTAGGCGGAGGGCCGAGCGCACCGGGAGGAAACGTTGACGAGGCTGCGAACAGCACGCTGAAATTCAGCTCGAAGGAGCCCAGTTTAACGAATTTAATGGTCGTGTTCTCCACCACTTTTACCCAAAACCACTCAAACAGGATTAGATCTATTTAAATGTGTTCAGGCTGACAAACAAGCAGAGTCCAGATCAATCCCTGAAGATGGGATCATCAGTCCTCTGTTATCATCGAGAAGCTTCGATCAACATTCTTTCAACCTTTATTTAGACAGGTAAATCCCATTGAGCCTTGAGGATTCATTTACGAGAGAGACCTGATTTCAACAAAGAATGATGACAACAGAACACGGCGAGGTTAATCTGGGTTTTTCCCATTAATGATCTGCCTAACTGGGTCATTAGTGCTCTGCTGGACACTCTGTGAAAGGCACTTGTGGACTGAGGTCAGAGTCACCAAGACCTGCACACCTTCGGCGCTCACAGGCCCACAAACACCCCACAGTCTCCATCTGTTCAAACGCTCAGCCTTCTACTGGGAGAGTATGGATGGAAACCACTAACAGCCTCTCAAACGCATTAAACAACAATATAATAATAATAATAATAATAATAATGTCAGCACTGTATGTATGTATGATGACCCATCCACCACCGGGTGGTGCGGTGGGCGGCTGGGGGGGGGGCGAGGTTTTGGGGATGGGGTGTGCTGCCCAGAGACACCACATGATATGCAGTGACTAGGGATCGAACCTGGGACTTTTGGGTCCCAAGCCGGCTGCCCTGCCTCTACACCATCTTGGCCCCCAAGGGGTAGCAACAGGTTTACATGGTTTTGGTGTTTGGTGAATTAAAAATAGGCTCCAGCAGGAGTTTAAACTCCAGTCTAACATGATTTCAGCTCATTCAACAAGATTTTACATCATGTGAAGTTTGGTTTAGAGTGACTTCTGCGGCGTTTTTGTGGGAAAATCCAACCAAATAATGCTGCAACATGGCTCAGGATTTGTTTAAAATGTAAAAACTTTGGGTCTACAGGGCAGCAAACAGTGTAGTGCTTTTATAACTTTGGGTAATGAAAAAGACTAAATGAATTCCATGGTAAATCTTCACAACAACTGCTCAAAAAGCTCAAGTAAACAACAATAATCAAGAGTTTGTGAAAGAAGCCGAGCTGCATTCTTGGACTAAAGCCTGTTTAGCCTGATCTTTGGGATTCCAAAGTCCAGCTCAGGGCAGAAAAACGTTATCTCAGTGTGGGTTTAGAGCTCTAAGCAGGGAAGATTTGCTGTTTCTGAGGTGAAAGTGGAGCAGCAGATTCAGGATGAGAACGTTTTAGCATGTCAGGGGTCAGTTTAATGTGAAGTGTGTGTGCAGCAGGTGTGGAAGCTGCAGCCGAGCCTCCCCACTGACACTGAGAAGGTGCAAAGAAAAATGAGAATCCACGTGCATCTGTGCATGCAGGTGTATGTTCATGTGCACGTCAGGTTGCTTCATACCTGCCGTGCTGGGGCTGTGCAGGCAGGTCTGAGGGGCCATGGCTGTGTGAACTGACGTGGTGGCGCGGCTGCTGAGGTCCACCACCGACGGGGTGGGCGGAGTGGGAGGCGGGGCTTGCTGCAGGGGAGCTTGAGGCGGCTGCGGCTTCTGGGAGGCCTGGTCACCCTGCGCCGTGTTGGCGGGGATGCCGTTCTCCAACAGGAACTCGTCCAGGTCCATGTATTCCAGCTGAAAGCCATCTCCATCGTAAGGCAGGGTCTTGTCCCACAGGGTGGGACCGAGGAAGGCCGACTGTGGGTGGCTGGCCGTGTTGCTCTCATCCTCCAACTTCTTCTCTTTCTCCTTATCCTTCCCAAATCCTGAAAAATGTGCACACAGTCAGTACATTGTATCTGTGCTGAGAGGAATCACGAGTCATTGCATGGGTTCAAATACAAAAAAGAAAAGTAGTCTCATCCAGAGGGGTCATTTTATCTACTTTAACATGAGGGAATTTATTTAATTAGAATATGAAGGGAGTTTGTCATTTTTATCAATACACCAGAGTATCATTTTCCAATAAAACACCCATTTACTTCAGATAAAGTGGTTGCAAGACTATAAACTAGATGTTTTAAACAGAAGACAAGTAAAAGGAAACCAAACTGCATTAGAAAAAAGGAAATGTGATATTTTATTGGTGCAGATTGTCCCTTAAAAGTTCATAATTACATGTTCATGATCAAATAATGCACATAAAGATGCTCCATAACAGACAAACTGCCCTCTGTTGACAATTACAGGTATTGCTAATAAGTCTAATTTAAAAAGGAGATTTAAAGGTTAACAGCTTTAACAAAACTAAAAACAGCAGTCACGTTTAACTAAATACACACTATGATTTGCGTATTATTAGGAATATAAGTACGTTTAAACCCGAAATTCACGCCAAACTTTCAATCAACACAAATTAATTTAAGATGCAACATGTTCTTATTTCTCTCATCTTTGTTACTTTTCGCCTAATTACGTTACGTTTAATTTTTGACAAAGATCGTAAAAAGAAAAGAGGGGCCACTCTGCGTGTGGGTAAACCCATGTCCTTCACTCTGGTTAATCTGTCAAATCCGTGACCGTCTGGAGAGCGAGAGCTGTCAGCGTGTTTGTCCGCGTGCGGGTAAGTTTCCGGACATTTAAACGCACCTTCATCGTGATGAAAAGGCAGCTTCAGAGGGTTCTCCAGCAGGGACTTCAGGACTCCGTGCGTCGGCGGCAGAAAAGTTGGGTTTATTGACAGAGGTCTGGCCATTTTTTCCATACGTCTTGAAGGGGCAACTGGAAAGGAAAGCTCGCGAAGACCGAATAAATTTTCTCCCCCAACCCCCGAGAAGAAAAAAACTATCAGACGTGACCAAAGCCGGCTCGTGGAGCCAAACGACGCCGGGGCTCGGGTGGTGAAGACGGGGCTCCGCGCGGCAGCAGGTCGGCGAGCTGCAGGCTGTCTGTCCGTCTGTCGCTGAGGCTCAGCGGCTGATAGCTGGGGGAGGAGGGGGGAGGCGGAGGGAGCGGAGCCGGACCCGCTACACTAACCCCGCCTATGCCAGGAGGCTCGCGCCGCTGACGTCCAACCGCCGGGGGGCGGGGACTGAAGCTGTGGTGCATTCAGGACACATTAAGTAAAGAACAATTCTGCAGGTTTCTTAAATGGCAGTCGGAAAAAAATGGTTGTTTACCTTTAAGGTGACCGATTTACTGAAAAATAAATATACTACTATGATTTACTCAAGTAAAAGTTCAAAACACTGGACTGCAAGTACAATCCTACAGTAAATATATCAGAGTCAGAGTCAGAGTTTCTTTATTGTCATTCGCACCTCATGTGGTACATGTGGTGGAGCGAAATTATGTACACAGGGTCCCAGTTACATCCAACAATAAAATGTCTAAGAAAAACAGTAATAACATCTAAGATATGAACTAAGAAAAACATCAACTAAATATACACTAAGCACTCATAACATAAAACATTGAACATCAGCACAAACATGAACATGAGTCTGTGAGCAGATGTGCACGCATGAACACATCAACATTGAAACAGATCAGCAGCAACATGATATGGTTTTTCACAGTGATTATTCTAGTTAGAGATTCATGAGTCTAACAGCCTCAGGGTAGAAGCTGTTCCTCAGTCTAGTGGTTCCACATTTAATGCTCCTTAACCTCCTTCCTGAGGGGAGTGGGGCAAAAAGTGTGTGTGCTGGGTGAGTGGGGTCCTTCATGATGCAGGTGGCCCTCTTCCTGCATCTGGAGGTGTAGATGTCTGTGATCGTGGGGAGGCTGATTCCAACAGATTTCTGTGCAGCCTTCACCACTCTCTGCAAAGCTTTTCTTTCTGCAGCTGTGCAGCCTCCATGCCACACATTGATGCTGGAGCACAGGATGCTCTCCACTGCACACCTGTAGAAGGAGGTGAGGACTGAGCTTCCCAGACCAGCTCGCCTCAGCCGTCTGAGGAAGTAGAGTCTCTGATGAGCTTTCTTGATCAGGCTGGTGGTGTTGTTGCTCCAGCTGAGGTTGTCATTCATGTGTACACCCAAGTACTTGTAGCTGGAGACCACTTCCACCGCAGATCCTCTTATATTCAGGGGGGTGTAGGTGTTTTTGTTCCTTCTGAAGTCCACAATCATCTCCTTTGTCTTCTTCACATTGATGTGAAGGTTATTCTCTCTGCACCAGCTCTCCAGGTGTTCCACCTCTTGCCTGTAGCTGGACTCATCATTGTTTGTGATGCATCCCACCACCGCTGTATCATCTGCAAACTTTACAATGTGACAGCCTGGATGGGTAGCTGCACAATCATATGTGAGCAGAGTAAACAGGAGGGGGCTCAACACACATCCCTGAGGATGTGTGTTGAGTGATATTTGTGATATTTATATATTGCAAAAATATACAGTTAATGTCTCATTTAGCTGATATTAGATTAAATAATACAATTTACTTCATTTATGTAGCATAATTTACGACGAAAACCATCTCAGAGAACTGTAAAAACATTTTTTTTTTTAAATCTTGAAATTCAATTCTGAAACTTTATTGTCAAACACAAGGACTGTGTTTAGCATTGCAGTCTTTTTCTATTTTTCCGTCTGTATTTACCTGTTTTGTTTCTATGTCTGTTTTATGCAACTGTGCTTAAGCGTATTCTGTACCACATGAAACAACAATATCCATTTATAGCTGCAGAAAACTCAGCCAACACCATGGTCTAGTCGATTGAGGTTTTACATTGAGTTTCACAAAATAGATTTACTGCATCGTCCATGTTTACTCGCCTAGACCCATGAATCATATAGGATGTTTGGGGTAAGCTGATGTCAAGAGCCATTTGAAACACTTTCATGGTTCACTTGCTTTCATGGATTCGCAGCATGACATGAGGTACTCAGAGTATGCCTCCGTTTAAAGACAGGAACTCCTGAGTTACGCAGCATTCACACGCACACTCAGAATTTATTTTATGAATATGTTTCAAAAGAACTGAGAACAAGGACAAAGTTTATGACTGTGGCAAAGTAATTCTAGGAAAACATGTTTTGGTTTTTGTGCATTTTGGATAGTCTGAAAGTAGGTCCATTTCAACTTTGTATTGTTTAATAGTTTATATTTAAAAAAAAAATGTACACAAAAATATTAGGGCAAGGAGTTCTGTTCCAGATCTGTTCCATGAAAAATCAACAATCTCCTTCTGTTGTGGCGATTAGACATTATTTCTACTCTGATTTCGCTTCTTCTTTCATTCTGTGTTTGTTTCTCCTTCCTGTCCTGTCAAACCCAGCCGGTCAAAGCAGATGTCCACTCGTCTTGAGCCTGGTTCTGCTGGAGGTTTCTTCCTGTTAAAAGGGAGTTTTTCCTTTCCACCGTCTCCTTTGTGCTTGCTCAGGACGGGAGACCGATGAAGTGAAGATTCAACACAATCTGCTGCTTCCTTAGATAGATGACTTATTAATTGGCTTTTTATTTTTATGCATGTGAATGTTTCAACAGTACCCTGATACTGTTGTGACTTGGCACTATATAAATAAACTGAAACTGATGGCTCCTTTCTACTCTACACCTGTTGTGGAGCGAAGAGGGGGAATTGGAAATACCCTCCATCAGTCAGCCTGTCTGTGAAGAAAAAAAAACGAGGAACCCACTTCCATTTTGGCGTGTGGCTACATCTAGACGTAAAAAAATGTTCCCTTTCAGAAACTGGGTTGCCACATCAAAATCCAAGATGTCTGCTGGCATATTATTTATATATACACTGCATATTCACACACATACATACCACCCCAATTGTTTGAGGAAACTATGCTTTCTAGTTTTTATGTTGCTTAAAAGTATAGTTTCCGCAAATGATTGGGCTGGCCCTTGGGGTGGTCAAAGTTTAACCTATATTGGCCAAGGCCACCACTGGCCACCCCCTGGCTCCACCATTGTGCCTACCCACTTCAATATGTTGCACTAACAACATTTAGATTAACTTTCATTCCCTGTTCCATTCCAGAAAAACACTTATCTAGATAACTACAAAACATTCACTGTTCAAATCCTTCAGCGACGGGGGACGTTGGTTTACCGCTTGTTCATTTTTAGGCAACATTTTAATTAAATAAACTCTAAATTGTCCCTAGGTGTGAGAGAGAGAGTGAATGTTTGTCTCATTTGTCTCCATGTGGCCCTGTGATGGACTTGCAACCTGTCCAGGGTGTCCCCCGCCCCTCGCACAGTGATCGCTGGACATGAGCACCGGAGACCCCCGTGGCCCAAAATGGAAGAAGCAGGTAAAAGATAACGGATGGATGGATTTTAATTAAATACATGCAACTAATTTTCTATAAATCACTGACACGGTTTCTCCTGGGCTAAAAAAATAAAGGAATTGTTTGTTTTGTTTTCAATCTTTGTTTAAAAGTTGCAATCAGTGATGACACTGTGGTGCGTTAGTGCACGATGTAAAGGTGACATAGCCTACTTGTATGCAGAGCCAGTCAGATGTCTGGTTTTTTGGCGTCTTTTTGTTTGCGACGTGCATTTAGTGACACATATTCACCGTGTCCCGAGCTATATTTAAGTCACTAACTAAAAGTGAGAATGTTTCGCAGGTTGCTGCAGTGACACCTTCACAAAAAGTAAAACAGGCAGGTCAGGGATTAATGGTTCTTTCATCCAGTGAAGTGTGCAGCATGCACCCCGTGGTCCAAATGGATTCTTTTGTAAAGGTTAACTAAAATAACAGGAGGCAGCGATGATCCGTGAAGCTCAGAATGCAAATATCGACGCAGAAACGCAGCCCAGATATGAGACAAGTTTGTAGAGCAAAGATCTGCTAATGCTCAAAGACAAATTTCTCACAGCTGCTGAATTTCAATTAGTCCCGTTTGCTTTTTGAATATGACGCTGGCACGGAGGAGTTACTGGTTTCAGCTGAGGAGCTCAGTATGGAGCAAATGATGGGCCTTCTTAGTGAGTCAAACTCGGAAGTTTGTTTTGTCACAGATGCTTCTCTCCTCACATGTGGCTCATTTTGGGTTTTTAACCTGCAGTTGTGTGCTGTAAAACGTGCACTCTGCTGTAAATCAGAGGCAGAAAAGGAAACAATCCAGCGTGTCGCCACATCCGAGGATGACGCCAATCGTGACTTGACCTATTTTCAGCCAATGGGTGCTGTGTGTGTGTTCGTGTCGTGACACATGGACGCTCATGCTTCCCAGCGTAGTAGAGTCTGAGTCACCCTGCCCTGCCCTGCTTGTTTGGTTTTAATAACTGCATTCTGTCAGTGCCGGTAAACAGAACCAGGAATGAGCGGAGGAAAAAACTGGTTTCATGCAACAAAAAGGCAAATAAAAAAATTCTTTCAGTCCGAAGCTGTTCTCATGCCGAGACGATGGCACGTCACATACAGCCAAAGTGGTTTTTAAAACATCAGAATCAAAAGCATACTGATCAGAAATTATCTGCAGCCGTAGCACAAAGTTTACATTTTGCAGGATTCTGCAGGAGCTCCACGTGCGAACGTGTTGAATCTTCCAGAAACAGTCGAGGGCATTTACAAAAAAAATAAATAATAATAATTCTTATTTCTTTTCCAAGTCGAACCCAGAGTCTTCAGGCTGTAAAAACATGAAAAAATACAATCGGCGCTAACAGCCAAGTGTTTGGATCATGTTGGTACAGAACATTTTGACTTCCAGTTTCACCTACAAACACCAAACAGCCAAACGTTGGTTGTGTTTACGGAGAATGTCACATTAAACATCGGAAAACTCATATTTAATACATAAAGATGTCAGCCTTCTTCTATTTGTAGCACTTTTATTAGTTTGTTCAAATAAATCACTTTATGTCAACACTGGCTTCAATAGCATGAAATCAGTTTGCTGCTGATAAACAAACAAAAAAAAGCTTATTTATGTGGAGAGGGATAAAATGTGATAAATTTTCATTGTTATGCTGATGACACAGTTATATTTGTCC